ATGTGGATGTTTCACAGCAGTTTTCTTTTTCATTAAATTATTTTGATATTGTTTATAACTGTTCAATGAATACTAACTGATCTCTGGAAATCTGATAGTTTTTCTAATACTTAATCAAGTTATATATTACAGATCTCTGTACTTTTTGAAAAATGTTGCTGTTCATAATAATTGGCTACTAATTTAGCTTATAAACATACTCAGTGCTCCAGATAATTTTTTGTAAGGAGTAATCACTCATAATTCTGTAAGCAGGCATAATTTTAAATTTTTTACAAAGTCCAACAGTAATCTAACTAATTATGAATTATTTTATATTTCAAAAAGTGAAATTTGGTACAGGTTTCATTTAACAAATAATAGACACAAATAACAACATTTTATTTTATTTTTTTACACAAAATTGGATCATTCACGAAAGCACAAATAGAAACATTTGGCAGTTAGCACTTATTTTTTGCAGCTCTACTGTGTGAACTGCACAGATCTTGCACAGAACTTCAGAAAGCTAAAAGAATGGGCCTACTGTACTCCCATTAAACAGTTAGAACCATATTTGTTTTTATACAGCAGCAAAATAACTTTTCAACATTTTAAGGCCGTAAATTGGCTGATTTTTGGTTGGGAATTGTGCCAGTATGACTCTTATTGGGAGCACCGATACTATAATTTATTTCTTTATGAATATGAAATTAAATGTGCCCATTTTTGATATTAGTTAAATGTTCTGAATTTTGTAAAACTCCTTTATTTATATTTTTCTAAAGTTTTATGTGAACATTTTCATATCATTATATACTGTTCAATAATATTATTTCTGCTCCCAACATAGTATGTACACTTGAACTCTGACCTTAAAGTCTTCAACAGATATTGGTGGATTACTCGCTTTTGTTGTCAGAGTATGAAAACTACTTGCATAATGCTCAAAAACATCACTCAGTGATCAGTTTCAATGCTATGTAATCCTAAGGGAAAGAAAGTATCTTTGACACATCTCACTTCTTTCTCCAATGAGAAAAGTAGCATCACATTTATGCAGTTATATAGGTACAAAATATAAATAATATGCAAATAAATAACAGCACTACAATTCAAAATTGCAGGTATATCAAGACCTACTCGTTCAAATTATCACGTTTCCTATGTAATGCAATGTAAAAATGATCCACCTCTCCAAAATGCACTGTTCAAAAATGCTCTGCATACTTATATCCAAAAACAATAAGAGTTCAACAGAAGTAAGAAGAATTAAATAAGGTGTTTTTTAGGCCATACCCACCAGTTTAAGATTTAAAGTATTTTCACTACAATAAAAGCAATGTTACCTGATTACTCTAAGTTTGCTTATTACTTATTCATTATTTGGTTTCAAACATTGTAAGGTAAAGCTTAATAATCAAAACTCCTATAGTACAGAATATATTAATGTTATTTTAACTTCATTTGCTATTTACTTAGGTTACTTTATGACTATGTGGTCAACACTGATTAATTGTTTGTTTGTTTTGAATTTCGCGCAAAGCTACACGAGGGCTATCTGCGCTAGCCGTCCCTAATTTAGCAGTG